CCCTATACCCTCGAAGTCTATTCACCACGACGATCCACGCATTAAGGCAGTCCTTAATAAGTATAAGGATGTCTTCCGAGAAGAACTCAAGCCGGGCTTACCACCAGAAAGGCAGATCGCCCACGCAATCGACACAGGAGATACTAAGCCAATTAACGTGAACGCATACCCCCTTTCGGTGACACACATGGACGAGTTGAAACGCCAACTTCACATCCTTTTGGAAGCTGGGCTCATCCGTCCCTCCGCAAGCCCTTGGGGCTTCCCTGTTCTCTTCGTTAAGAAGGCTAACGGGACCTGGAGAATGTGCGTCGACTTCCGTATGTTGAACAAGGACACCGTTAAGAACACCTATCCCCTCCCAAGGATAGACGCCTTATTCGATTATATTGGCCAGGCTAAGTATCTCTCCAAATTCGATCTCCTCTCCGGTTTCTGGCAGGTACGCATGGCTGAGGACTCGATCTCCAAGACGGCGTTCAACACCCAATGGGGAAAATTCGAGTTCCTCGCCATGCCCTTCGGCCTAACTAACGCCCCAGCAACTTTCCAAGCTATGATGAATCAGGTATTGGAAGGTTATAATGGTACCTTCTGCGTTGTCTACCTTGACGATGTCCTCATCTTCTCCAACACCCTCGACGAGCACATAGACCACATCGACAAAGTCCTTTCTCGACTCAAGGACAACGAGCTCGCTGTCAAACCATCCAAATGTGCGATCGCGGCCGAAGAGCTCGACTTCTGTGGCTATGTCGTCGGGAAAGGAGAACTGCGCCCCATGCCAATGAAACTCGACGCAATCCGAGAGTGGCCACGACCAGTCAACGTCTATCAAATTCGCCAACTCCTCGGACTCGCTGAGTACTACCGACGCTGCATCAAGGACCTCTCAAAGATCGTGGCACCCTTGTCAGAAATGATTAAGACAACCGATGAAGCACTAAGGAAGAAGCGATATAGACCAATACAGTGGAACGCGTCGTGTGAGCAAGCTTTCCTTGAATTGAAAGAGACACTGACCACGGACCCCGTTGTGCGACAGCCCCGCAGACATGAGCCTTACGTCATCGAGACCGACGCGTCGGAGTGGGCCTTAGGATGCGTCTTACTCCAAAAGGATCCTAAGGACGGCCTCTTACACCCGGTTGCATATGACGGTAAGAAGCTCACTGGTGCTGAGCTCAACTACCCGGTTCACGAGAAGGAGCTTCTTGCAATCAAA